CATGTGTTCAATTCTGAATGGACCTACTTAGAGTTGATTGAGTAAATTCATAGCAGCCATAGTCAAACCAAAAACTGAGTTCCCCACATTATGCTAGATCAATTTAGAGCTGTGGATTTGAATCTGAGTTTGTCAAACCTGCTGCATGAAATGGACCCCTGGTCCGAAATGACAATTGGTAAACTTTATAATCTATTTGCAAAACTTGGACTTATGGCTGACCATTCTTACAAAAACCATTAGGGTGGAAGCATCATGCCATGGGGATTATTTTATTTTGCATTGACAGGGAAGCTGGTCAAATTTTATGAGAACATGGATGGAGCTAATTAAAGAAAACCTTTTTGAGGATGGAGGTTGTTTACGATTATGGCTCAGTTATACATTTCAGCATAAAAAAAAATATATATATATATATATATATATATATATATATATATGAAATGCAGCCAGAAACAAAATTGTCTACACCAAAGCTTACAGATATGTAAAAATAGCCCAGTCAAATTTCTAGCTTAAATTTCATTGAGAATCAGTTGCATGACTTGAAAATTAGTTTTTGCTTTAGATTCTCACTAGATAATTTGAGCTTGAACCATTTTGAAAAGTAGAATTGTCAAACATTTCAGTGTTTATACCAATAAGGCTAGTGAAGACTCAGATGAATTTTGGCTGCAAAATGTGACACTAGAAAACGCTGACCAGTAAACCATGCTTTGATATTCAGTTTAATAAGCTAGTCAAATTGGTAGTTTATGCTTATATGTTTCAAATATAACCAAAAATGTCAGTTTAATCAAACTAAATCTTATATTTCATTCTTTCTTCTGTATCATTTCATATTCTGGCTGCAAATGTGTATATCTATAAAGAAAACCTTCCCATTGCGGAACATTTTACAATGAGTTAGACAAAATTTGACTAACCTCTATAGAACACCTTGGGAATTCATCCAGAACTAATGGGAAACCAACCATCACTTACTGGGAAACACACAACTTAGCCTCATAATATGCTACTGGAATACACCCTCCAATTTTAATAACCAGACCTGACTGGGAAAAGCACTGCCCAGCCATATTACCCAGTATTTAGTGAGGAGCACACAGTAAAGCCTTATTGGGGGAATTATGTCTATTTTTAAGGAAATCAAACAATCAGGAACTAATTGGTAGTTGGAGTAGTAAATTATTACTCACCAGGAGAACACTTAGACTCTGTGTATACAAAGCCAAATTTTGTTTAGTACAGCTTTTCAAATAAATGAACATTTCCATTCAATAAAGAGACAAGCAGTGATCAAATGTAAACAGTGTGGGAGACAAAAACATGTTGCAGAAAATGCATTGATATGGAAGTTCAGAGCATAAATATATTTAGTGCAAATATGCTGTATTTTTGGTTTGGTGTTACCAGTGTGATATAGATTCTGTGACGTGAGTTAGAGATTTTTTCTTTTTGTTTGTTTTTAACAGTTCAGCTGCCTGATGGCAGTGGGGAAGAAACTGTTTCTGTATCTGCTGGACCTGCATCGAATGCTACGAAGCCTCTTCCCCAAGGACAGCAGAGAGAACAGTCCATGGTGGAGGTGTTAGGGGTCATTGATGATGTTATGGGCTCGGGAAACGAAACGCTGGGATGAAATGTCTTTTATGGAGGAAAGAGGAGCTTTATTAACCTTTATTTACTGGAGGACAGAGGGCCAAGCTTTATTGGGGTTCAACAGGTTAGTTAGCAAAGAAACAGAGGAAATATTCTCTATGTAATTTCTGAATAAAACTTGCAGCAGTGAGGTCAGAGCTTGTCATTGTCAGTGATAACTGATTTAATCAGATTATCTCTATTTTAATACTTTTTGATGAAAGACAATAGCATTTTTTTTATTCTTGAACTGCTGTCATCTTAACTATCTATTACTTAGTACCAAATCATTCTCTGGATATTTGTTTTGTTATTGTTTTTTTTTGCAAACTCCATGTAGTTTAGCTCTGTACCAAGTACTTACTAATTAACCAGTCTTTACTTAAGCAGTACCTGACCATCCACCTGTTTTTGTGAACCCTGAAGTAAAGTGAAGCATCATACCAAGTACTAACTGATTAACTAATCATTACTTAAGCAGTATATGACAATTATCTACTGTTTTTGTGAACCCTGAAGTAAAGTGAAGCATCATACCAAGTACTAACTGATTAACTAATCATTACTTAAGCAGTATCTGACCATTACCTAATATTTTTGTGTATCCTGAAATAAAGTGAAGCATCATACCTTTTTGAACTCCTACTAATAAATTATGCATTTACTTAATCATTTAGGTGCAATTTCTATCATTTTATAGCAATGTAACGTCTCCAAAACATTGAAGATTGACGAAAACTACAGAGAAAAAAAAGGGGGGTATTTATTCAAGAATCTACAGGTAAAAAGCCAAATCCAAACACAAAGAAATATCCCTCTATTCTAAAGAATACATATATTTTACACATTGTGCTCTTTGCATATGTCATGGAGCAAGCGGACAAGTGGACCATTCTTATGTGACTTTGTCAGCCAGTGTGTCCATTCTATAGGCGCAAGGTGTGTTGAGTTCTCTGTTCTATTTCCACGCAGTCTCCAAACCAGGGATTTGTAGTTAAATCAGGTACTCTCAATGTTCTGTGTATTGTCACCTACAATATAGACTTAAACATTTACAAATGACCTGCTGTGATTAAATAGTGAAC